TGCACGCACGCACGCACGCATGCAGGTGGGCATGCCGGGCAACGTCACCGCTCTGTCCTGGCATCACCGCCTGAACCAGATCTTTGTGGGCATCGGTGAGCCGGGCTTGGAGCCTGGATTGGAATAGAGTGGAGTGGAGTGGATTCCGTGTACACACTTGTCGGTCGGTTGGTGGGTTTGTTGGGCTTCTCGCTTCCCACTTTGCTCTTCGACAACCCCTTTGGAATAAACCCTTGAAAAATTCTTTTGCCAACCTAACGCTGCACACAGGCAACCGCAAGTCGGGTGAGACGCACGCGCTGTACGACCTGACACGCAGCGAGCGCGGTGTGGTGGCAGCCGCCTCCCGCCGGCCCCGGGTGGCCAGTCCGCTGGACTTCACACCGCCCGTCATCATAAAGAACCCACACGCGTTGCCCATGTACAGGTGTGCGTGTATGGGTGCGTGTGTGTGTACCGGGATGTGTGGGTATGTGTGTGATTGTGTGTGTGTATGCGTGTGTCTGCATGGATGGAGCGTTTGGTTTTGGGGTGTATGTGCGAGTATGGAACCCCGCTGCCAGACGGCGCCAGGGTAACCCCCCCCCCCACACACACACACACCCACACACACCCAGTTTGGGTACGCTTTCCAAGTGCTGGGGTGGGGTGGGGTGGGGTGGGGTGGGGTGTGTATTTCCTAACCCCCACCCCCACCCCCACCCAGGAGCTGATGTCTGTTGCTGTCTGTCATCCGCCGCTCGCCATCCGCCTCGATCGTTGCGGACTGTGTTATTGATGAATGGGCGGATGGATATGTGTGTCCAGGGAGGATCCGGCCAAGAAGCGCAAGGCGGAGAAGGAGGCGACCAAGAGCCGCCGACCGGACCCCGGCATGGTGGCGGGCCGGGGCAAGCAGGGCCGGCTGGGAGCCACCGGAGGCACGCTGCTGACCCAACATCTCCTGAAGCAGGTGGGTGCGGGAAGGGGGGTTGCGCTCTGCTTTTTACATGCATGTGGCGGATACACGTGATGATGACAGACCACCTCGACATCATGCTGCTGCTGCTGCATGCTGACACACATACACCTGCAACCTGCACGTAACTGTACCCCCATAGCTGTCCGGACATACAGCCATTGGATCTTGCTGTTCGGCAATGCATATATACCGGTACGCACGAGGCGCGTTGTATTACGCACGAGGCGCGTTGTATTTTTCTTCTTCTTCCCAAGTGTGATACCAATATAGCGTGCTCCAGCTGCTGCGAGGTGACGTAGCTCCAGAGGAATCAATTGTCGTACTGCTGTACTGCTGTACTGCTGCCCTCCGAAATTTGGAAATTGTACGGCTGCAGCGTGGCGGGCTGATGGCTCCGGAGCACGAGATGGACCCCCGGCAGGCTATTCTTCGACACGCGGACAAGGTACGTGCACTCGCTCGATCGGTCGATCGATCGATCGGGGTTCTCGGCGTCCAGCTCAGATCAGCTCAGCTCAGCAGCCGCAGAAAGAAAAGAAACGTGAAAGTGGCTGTCACACTTGGTGGCGTGGGAGGATGCGTGGGACATCGCTTCACACTTTTCCATATCATTTACCGGTACATGGGCGGCGGTACATGGGCGGCGTCCCGCCTCCACCCCCCCCCCCGATGTCCGGGCGGGGACATTGTATGTGAGATGGTGTGTATGCCTGTGACGGTTACGCCCTTGTTTGCTGCTGACACGGTGTACACGGTGTTTGGGTTGTTTGCTGCTAACACGGTGTTTGTGTGTTGCGTACACGGTATTTGTCCGTTTGCTGCTTACCCGGTGTTTGTTTGTTTGTTTGCTGCTTACCCGGTGTTTGTTTGTTTGCTGCTTACACGGTGTTTGTCTGTTTGCTGCTTACACCGTTACCCGGGTGTACACGGTGTTTGGGTTGTTTTCTGCCTGCTTACACGGTGTTTTGCTGCTTACACCGTTACTCGGGTCGCCTGCAGGCCAAGGACGAGTTTTCCGCCTGGACAGCCGCGTACCGGGCCACACAGCCCAAGCCGGTGTTCACACAGGAGCAAAACGAGGAGGAGGAGGAGGCCGAGTAATGATGACTCCGCTGCTGGAAACGCAGCGGCTGCTGCTGCTTCAGGTGTTAGCGGCGGCTGCGCCCTGGCTGCATGGGGCTGTATGGATGAATGGATGGATGGTTGCATGTATGGATGGGTGTGCAGGAACGCTCACTCCCCTGTGTGCGTGTCACACAGGACACAGCTAGATAGATACAGAGGTATACGTGGGGGTATTGATCGCCGCTGCACTTGCGATGCCGTGTTGATGATACGTTTGCAGCATGCTGTCGGTCCTCCAGGCCCCTCCATCCAGGAAGCCGCCGGACGCTGTGTGGGTGCTATCTAGGATGGCTAGCTAGGCTGTATGTGTGGTACGTAGGTGCAGTGCGTGTACCATACATGCATACATATGTACATACGTACCGGGTGGTAACCTAGATTTATATATCTAGCTACTCATGGGCCGGTGCGTGCTCTAGGCGCCCCATGACGGACGTTCAAGGAGGGTGAACCGACCGAGATAACCCCCGCGTCCGTCCCCGCTCACCCCTTCCCCGGAATGAACCGCACTGCACTCCCTTTACGGCCGTCCTCGCGCCTGAGGTTCATCCTGCCTTGGGACTGTCCGGTAACTCTTTCACGGCGGGGCGCGCTGTCACGACACACTGCGTAACTGGCAGAACGCGTGCTGCCCTGAGCAACTTGGTATGGTGCGCCGGGGACAGAGGTGCCCGACGCGATTGCAATGGCGCGGCGATGAAAGGAGATGTCGGAGTGGTCGATCAGATCAGCGTATCGTAGCAGCAGCGAGCGAGCGAGCGAGCGTTCAGTAACACAGCGTTTAGTGTTACAAGTCACAGCAGCGGGTGCGCCACCCGTGAGGCCGGTCCTTGCGACCTGACGATGTAGAACCGGCTCGTCGTCAGGGAGCTAGTTGTGAATACAAGCGCGACAGCTAGATATAACCAACCGTCTGCAATGAATGCGGCAAGTATTTCAACAAGCTGCCGCGATGATCGCGAGCAGCTCCTAAATATCCCACAACGTAAGATAGCTCCAGAACCACACAACTAACCTCGCGAAATCCTAACGAACCGCCAAGTTCTTCTGCTTCTTAGTAACTACCAATGGCTTCGGACAAACGGTGTCAAAGACGCAGTGTGTCGTGACAGCTGTCACGACACACTGCGTAACTGGCAGAACGCGTGCTGCCCTGAGCAACTCCCCCCCCAGCTGGAAGCCCCAAGCATTCGTCTGGGGGCTGAAGCTGCCAGTCACACCAAACCGCCGCAAGCGTAAGAGGCACACAAAAAGCTACGCAAAACGCTAAGAGTCACACGTGCACGAAGTCTTCTATCGCAAGTGGTCCACAACGAGTCCGTACGGCGCGTCCGTACACCAAGCTGGCACACGCAAATCGCTTGTTCACCAGAGCCAAGGGTTGCCCCCCCTGATCAATGTCCACACTCGCCAACCAAGCCAACCGGAGGGACTCAGCCTACAAATCACCCTCCCATCCTCTCAAACCAGAGCGCCGCTCCCCCGGCCAGGCTCGCCTTGGCCAAGTTGCACTCGGCTTCGGGCGGAACCTTGCCGTCCTTCAACTGAAAGCTCTTCAAAGCAACAAAGGGCTTATGCCCTATCTTGAAATCTGCCCAAGCCTTGGCGCCACCGCCCATAAAAATGGGCATGCCACTCATAGAAAGCTCCGCGGCCATTTCGCTATCAGAATCACTTACGACGGAACCGGACTCAGAGCCCGAATCAGCACCAGCAGCAGCGTCAGCACCAGCAGCAGCGTCCAAAGCAGAATCAGCACTCTCAGCGTCACTATTCACCTCAGACGTCTGTTCAGACTCCGAAGAAGAAGCCGATGGCCCAAGGCCAGCAAGTCGGCGCGAGCGGCGAACCTCCTCCGATGTCTCCTCCAGCTTGTTGAAATATGGTATGGTGCGCCGGGGACAGAGGTGCCCGACGCGATTGCAATGGCGCGGCGATGAAAGGAGATGTCGGAGTGGTTGATCAGATCAGCTTATCGTAGCAGCAGCGAGCGAGCGAGCGAGCGAGCGTTCAGTAACACAGCATTTGGTGTTACAAGTCACAGCAGCGGGTGCGCCACCCGTGAGGCCGGTCCTTGCGACCTGACGATGTAGAACCGGCTCGTCGTCAGGGAGCTAGTTGTGAATACAAGCGCGACAGCTAGATATAACCAACCGTCTGCAATGAATGCGGCAAGTATTTCAACAAGCTGCCGCGATGATCGCGAGCAGCTCCTAAATATCCCACAACGTAAGATAGCTCCAGAACCACACAACTAACCTCGCGAAATCCTAACGAACCGCCAAGTTCTTCTGCTTCTTAGTAACTACCAATGGCTTCGGACAAACGGTGTCAAAGACGCAGTGTGTCGTGACAGCGCATTCGACGAAACGAAAGTCAGTCGCCGTGTCGACAACCTTAGTAGGTCGCCTCCTCACGTCCTCAGTCCTCACCAGCCATGTCTTCATCGGAGCACCCGTCCACGTCCGCTCCGGTGGTGAGCGAGCGAGGGTCAGGACTCACGACTCACGAGCAGGAGCAGCGTAACGCACGAAGCCGAAGGGGCCCCCGGCCGCCCCCGGGCTGTGGCGCCTCCGGCGACCTCGGACGGATCCAGCCCATCGCTGACCTACAGGCGTTGCCGATGAGCTCTAGCCAGCAAGGTGAGGAAAAAATACAGTCGCGCAGCTAAAATGCTTACGCAATGCTTCAGACGTTTGGCACCGCTTTATTTAGCCGCCGTGCATCAGTATCAGCCAGGATTAGCGCAGGCACTCGTCCAAGCTTGCTTGCCTCGAGGGGGCACCCGCAAGGGCCTGCGTGGCTCCGTGCGCCACTGCGCTACATCACAAATGAAGGGACAAGCAGCCCACATACATCAGGAGGCAAAACGGACTAGCAGCTTTGTCCTGGGCGGCTGTTAATACCACATATATGGCTGCGGCAGGGTTCGAACCTGCGCCCTTTCGGATAGGAGCCTTAATCCTACGCCTTAGACCACTCGGCCACGCAACCAGATGACGACTTAAGCAAAGCACTAATCAACATAGCATAACATTGAGGTTCACGCTTGCCCGCGCGGCAGGAGGAGACTGGCCTTCGGCTCGCCCTTTGGGGTCGCATAGCAAATCCCTTTCGCAGTCGGCTCTGTCTGCAGGGCGTTTGTGCGGAGTGGGCTTGCTTGGTGTTGTTGTTGCTGACCCGTGGGTTTGGTGATGCCGTCATGTGGACATCATGTACAAGGTTCGTTCCGTGAGATTGGTTGCGCGGCGGCAATATAAAAGCGGTGCATATAGACACAACTGTACTTACCGTGGAGGCGTTCGAGCGGCGGTTGACGGTGAGCGTCGTGCTGGTTTGTTAGCTTGTTTGCTTGTGTATTTATTTGGTTGTATGTTTGCTTTGTTGCTTGTTTGGTGGTTTGGTTATGCGCAGGGGGCTTGGTTCTGGATGGTGGCAGTGATTGGTCTTTGTAGGCTTGCTGGTGCGCTGGGTTGCTGGCTTAGTTGTGTTTGGTGGCCTTGCTGGTCCCTTGTGAGTGTTGTATGTTGTTAGCCTCAGATGGGTTGGTTTGCTTTGTGTTTGTAGGCTTGCTGGTGCGCGCGCTTGTTGGTTTGGTTGTGTTTGTTGGTATAGGTGATCCCTATGCTGTTGGCCCTTATTTCTTCAGGTGCGCCTGGAGATGATGGCCGACCGGCAGGTTCATCAACTGGAGTCGAAGTTGGGCGCCGCTAACGTAGCGGACCGTATGCTCCTTAATCTTGACGGCGAGCTGGACTACGGGATGTTGAGGAACCGTATGATGACGTTCTCTGCGGGGCTGCCGGCCGGATGTGGGATGCTGGATGCGGCTTTGGGCGTCATGCCCCCGGAGATGCTGCAGACGGCTCATCCGGATACCAGCACGACGGTTGTGGGGTACTTCTTGCCCGATGACTTCTCGCTTGCCACGTACGATGATCTAGCTTCCGCGGAGCGCGGACGGGGGGATTTTGCCCCCGTCCCCGGCATCGGCCTGGACATGCTGGACACGTCCACGGAAGCTAGATCATCGTACGTGGCAAGCGAGAAGTCATCGGGCAAGAAGTACCCCACAACCGTCGTGCTGGTATCCGGATGAGCCGTCTGCAGCATCTCCGGGGGCATGACGCCCAAAGCCGCATCCAGCATCCCACATCCGGCCGGCAGCCCCGCAAAGAACGTCATCATACGGTTCCTCAACATCCCGAAGTCCAGCTCGCTCGGATTTGCACATGCTTTTGCTGCACGGGTCATGGCTCACGTACCTTGTATGTGCATACTGCCCCTGTAGACTGAGTGCGTACTCTTAACATTTGCCGCTGGGGGGAAATGCTTTTCTTCCGGTAAAAGGCTTGACTGCCCCAACATTGAGGACGCACCCAGGGCCGGGGTTTCAACATCAGGCCCTCCTGGGCTGCAGGGCGCTGCAAACGTTGGAAGATGTGCTTACTGCGCGCGATCCTGGAGATGCGGTTCTGCACGCACCAGGCCGGGATGGCTGTGCACAGGGGGTGGTATCAAACGGTGGAGCGGTACCTCCAGCCACGGAGCCATGAGCTCGGTCTCTCGGTTGCTTTCGGAACCTGCACGAATGTCGCAGCGCTGTCGCTGCTCTCCTAGCCGATATCCCGGTGGGCTAGGGACAGTCCGCCAGCCTCTTGATGCCTCTCAGGTCTCAGCGCAGACTTCCGTGCGGCCCTACATGATGTCGCTCATCACGTCCGTCACACAATCCCTGGTGTTGATTGCTGTTAGGTTGGCGGTGGGCCGGAGGACCTCCGACCATGCTTAGAACTTCACCACAAAAAATGCAACCGCAATGCAGCTTACGCCGGCTGTTGAATCTCATCGGGCAGCGCACGGCCTGTGTGTTAAGGGGACGATGGCCTCGCCTGCAGTGCAGGCTGGGGCCCTCTCCACCAGGCTCTCCATTCTGTTGCGGGCCTTACCCCGATTAAGGACTCCGCTACAGTGGGAGAACGAACAAAACGAGCATTGGTGGCGGCTGACGGTTGATATGGTCCTGATGCGGGGAAACTTCCACGTCGCGGCCAGCGGCATGTGGATGTGGGAGTAACCCGGACATGCGGTGGATGGTATTATGGTATTACGACATCAATAGCATGATTAAAAGCCATTTGTCCCGAGCCTACCAGGGATCGAACCTGGAATCTCCGGTTCCGTAGACCGGCGCTTTATCCATTAAGCCATAGGCCCCACTTGATGCCCGTACGGTTCTTGATGCCAGAAGGAAAAATTAAATATAATTATAGAAATTCAAATTAACAGGCGGGCCTCCAGGAGAGGCTGGCCTTGTCGGCAGGGTGCACCTACCTGCTTCCATGCACCTCCTCCGAGCCACTGACGGAGCTGCAGTCTGGATGACCTGGCATGGTTGTCCCAGCACTGGCTTGATCTTCCGAGTGTTGCACTCCTTGGGTGTTGCGCCTTGCATGTGCATACAGGCCCCCTCGGTCGTGCTGGGGCTTTGGCTCTGGTTCCGGTATACCGCCAGGGGATACCTCCCGGGGGGGCGGGGGGAAAGGGAAATCCTTTTGTGCACAAAATCGTGAGCAGTTCTCAGACATAAATGGACCCCTCATAGCTCAGACCCGATTGTCCAACCTCGCTATCCAGCAGTGTTCATTATAACTTTTATGTTCTAGCAACAAACAGTTACTGCCCGGGGAGGTACGGCATTGGCGCGGCGTGATGGTTTGAGATGACTGCACTCCGAAGCGCGCCGACGGACCTTGTACTGGAGGCCGTTGATTGCTGTCCGCTTTTTGGCAAGACATGCGTGCTGAACAGGGTTTCGTAGCCCGAGACCCCAACCAATGGGTTCGCAATCCGCCCAATTACCGTAGTGGATGCAGATCATAGGTTGTTAGTTTCTAGGAAGAGCAATCATGCGCTGCAAAGAAGAGTCGATGACAAAGGCGCAGCCGTGCAAAGAGGCAGCACAGGACAGCCCGACACAGCGTCACACCTCGCCCCGCCCCATCCCCCCGCCCTGCTCCGCCTGCGGTCCCATGTCGCTGTCCCGCGCTCCCGCCGCGGTGCTCCCCCGACACACACAAGTGCGACGAGCAAAACACCCGAACGCGCCATCACATGCACGCCCACGCCCCCGCGAGAGCACCCGCCTGCCAGCACCACCTACCCCACTTCTTCTGGAGACAACAGGTTATCCTCAGGTAATATTCCAGGTAACTGCGTTGCGTTCCCCTCTCCCCGGGCCGTTCTTATTACCCCACTTCCCCCCTCCCCATAGTTCTCAGGCCGCCGCAACCCGTTGCTATGGCTTTCGCTGCTCCCCCTCCCCCCGGGCCTACACGTGGATACCCCCCCACCCCCGCGCCTGCGGTTCTTTTTACCCCGCGCCTCGCTACTCCCGAGGACACGACGATGCAGCATACCCAGTCTCCAAAGGTGTCCACTGAACCCTCCGCTCTCCACGTCCCCTGCTACATCCCTTTGTGATCAGGCATCTGGGCCCAGACGCCGCCCGCCCGCCGCCCACAACCCACCCACACATCCAACCAACCATCCAACCAACCAACCAACCAACCAACCAACCATCAGGCTTTCCAAACCGCATTGTCAGCTCACAGCAGTTAGATAGGCAGGCTGGCCGTTTTCGGCTCCACTGTAAAAACGGTCACCCGGGCTGCCCTCCCTCCCTGCCTGCCTGCCTGCCTGCCTGGCATCCTGCCGCCGCAGCTCACACGTCCCTTCCCTTCCCCTCCCTGCCCCTCCCTGCCTGCCTGACTGCCTTGATCTCCTGGACACGCGCCACGCAGCCAAACCCGTGTGGAGCGACCTCCGCTTGCCGTGCGTCCGCAAAGCCCCACGGTATTCGCAGCACGGCGCAACACGGATGTCCTCGGAAGGGGGGGCCACAAAGCAGGGGGTGGAGCAGCAGGGGATGGAGCAGGCGACGAAGCAGAGGGGGGGAGCGGCGAACAAGGCGGCATTCACAGCCCCTTCGGGTACGGCAGTCCGGCGGTGTTGTACACCTTCCGCATCCGCGCGGCTCCATCGGCTGACAGTCGGGCCAGCGCGCCCTCCACCGCTGCGCCATGAGCCCGGACGAACGCCGCCGCTGCCGCTGCGGCGGCGGCGGCCGCCGCGGTGGAGGTGGGGCCGACCGCCGTTACTGCCGGCGCTGCAGGTGCAGATGATGGCGTGGCCGCCGTCGCGACGGATGCCAGGGACGCCAGCGGCACCTGGGCCCGGTTCAGCAACTGGCGGACAGACGGACGGACGGGTGAGGGAGTTGGCGGGTGAGTGGGTGGGTGGCTGGGTTTGAAGGGACACAGGGCGCGGGGGCCGAAGCCAAAGCCGAAGCCGAAGCTTGGAAGCTGCCTTCCCCCCAACTCCAAACCCGAGTGGGTCGCTGGGTAACGTGGCCGCGGCCACGCACACGTCCAGAACTCCCCGACCAGGTCCGACCGGGTCAAGGGTCGTATCCCACAACCGGATGACGATGACAGGCAACAGGCACCGGATACAGGTAGCGGTGCCTGTTGCCTCTTCATCGTCAGAGAGGTACCCCTATCCGGTAGGTACCGTGACGCTCGGGTTCTTCGCCCAGGTGTGGGCTTGTGGCTGGTAATCCCCGGCTTGACTTGCGTTCCATAACTCCCTTCCCCTCACCTCCCCCCCTCCCATTCATCCACCCGTGCTTTCCATACCGCCCCCTCCCCCTCCTGCTTGCCAGCTGATCGCTCTGGACTGTCATTCTTTCTCTCTCTCCCCCTCCCCCCTCCCCCCCTCATTGTTATATAAAGGAGCATATCACTCCCTGACCCCTCCCCCCTCCCCCCCACCACATTCATCCACTGGTAGCTCACCTCCAGCCACTTGGCCAAGCGCTCCGGATTGGCAGTCGGCAGCTCCTGAACAAGGAGGGGCGGGGGGGGGGGTTGAAGAGTAAATTTGCAAGAAAGAAACAAGACGGCCTGCGGGGGGAGAGGTCGGAGGTCGGAGGA